TGACTTGGTATAAAAGAAGGCTTGATGAACGAAAGTGGTGAGATTAGGGGATCGGGTGCCACGTTCCGGTACCAGAATAGAGATAGAGGATCGGGTGCCACGTTTCGGTACCAGGATAGAATGAGGATCGGAGTGTCACGTTGCGACACCAGGATAGTATATGGATCAGGTGCCATATTTCGGTACCAGGATAGAATGAGGATCGGAGTGTCATGTTCCGACACCAGGATAGTATATGGATCGGGTGCCACGTTCCGGTACCAGGATAGAATGAGGATCGGAGTGTCACGTTCCGATACCAGGATAGTATATGGATCGGGTGCCACGTTCCGGTACCAGGATAGAATGAGGATCGGAGTGTCACGTTTCGACACCAGGATAGTATATGGATCGAAGTGTCACGTACCGACATGAGGGGAATAAATATAATGAATCTTGCAAGATGCTAATATACTCAATTTAATGAATCTAATTCCCAAATGAGTATGGTATTGAGGCTTGAGTCCTCATGTGTGAACTTGACGGTAATTGTTAATGATATAGTACTTGTTGTTGCTACATGTTGAGTATCATAGTTGATTTTATGATATTGCTTTATATATATTGTTTTCTATTTCGAGTTGGCCGATGATATCTACTCAGTACCCATGTTTTGTACTGACCCCTACTTTTATTGTTTTCTTCTTGTTATTTGTGGAGTGCAGCAAACGTGCCGTCATCTTCGACTCAACAGTAACTCTAGCCAGTCTTCATTACTCCAGATATCAGGGTGAGCTAATGCTTCTAGCTTGGACTGGATCTTCCTCTTCATGTTTTGATGCCTTGAAGTTCCGGCATGGACTAGCTTTCATTTGTTTTAGCTTCTTAGAATACTCTTAGTTTAGTAATTTGATCATAGATGTTCTTGTGGTGATGACTTCCAGATTTTGGGGATAATAATAGTTATTGATTTTATTAATGAGTTAAGTCTTAAGCATTACTTTCTGTTGATATTATATTGAAATGTTAAGGTTTAGATTGGTTGGTTCGCTCACATAGGAGGGTAAGTGTGGGTGCCAGTCGCGATCCGGTTTTGGGTCGTGACAAATATTCATTAGGTATTGATATTCTATCAAGTTATTGTTAGCTTTAGTTAACCAAGTTGCTTTAAACTAATTGTTTGAATGACATAAGGTATAATCTTGCAGTTATACGGTTTATACAATACGCTAAGTCTATGAATGACACAAGGAAAAATCATGCATCTATACCGTTCATAAAAGAGGCTAACTATTTGAATAACACAAGGTAAAAATGTTGCAGCTATACTATTGATATGACCTACAAAGTCTTGCATCAAATATTGCAGATAAATAAAATTTTCTTTTCCCCATGCACAAGCTTGAGAGGAGATTTCTCTTTTCAGTTACTCTTTGTGCGCGTTATAGTGAACTTTATGTATGTTGCTGAAATCATTGTTTCATCATAACTAAGAACGAGTTACAAAAGAATAGTAATTTAATTGGGCTCTACTAATTATAGGATTCACTTTTATCCTAAAAATATGATGTGGGTGAATTACTCGCTCGCACTTTCTCCTTCACAAATTGGAGATGAATATTTCCTCCAGACAAGGTCTTTATGTGTTTGCTTCTACTATAATGACTTTGACAGAATGATGGCGAATTTATATTTATTGAGAGCTCTTTCTAATTCTACTTCGTAATGAACTCTTCCTTTCTTTTGTTATGTTTTTTTTTGTTGCTTTTGAATTGATAAGTTTTTAAACCTTCTTAATATTATCCTTGGTATTAAAGAGTTTGTTGTGTTGTAACAATTAAACTTATCATATATATGATCCGTTGCTTATTGATTGTAATTCTTCATTGATCACATAGCAGTTTGGAAGTTTTTAAATGTTTGATAAGGAGCCTAAATAGGTGCAACTCAAATGTGAAATCTACTTGTCCTATCATATAAGTCTTGAGAAGAAAGGAACTTTTATTTTTTGTATAATCATGGGATTATACAAGACATCTGTTAGTATTTGAAGGTTCAACTATTTATCTCAGATAAATGGTGTACAAAATTGAAAAACAAATAAAATCAGTCCATAAAATTATTGTGTGTGTGTGTGTGCGTGTGCATGTGTGTGCATGTGTGTGTGTGTGTGTGTGTGTGTGTGTGTATGTGTGTGTGTGAGAGTGTGTGTGTGTGTGCGTGTGTGTGCGTGCGTGCGTGCGTCCGTGCGTGTGTCCGTGTTGATTTTTATTTTTTTCGGGATGATTGGTGTGTTTAATGTGTCAGATTTTAATATTTATTTTTGATATTAATATATTGTTAAAGTTATTATTTACACATATTTAGTGTGCAACATTACTTTGATAATATTATTTAATAATAAGTTAAATTTTGTAATTATCAATAGATTAATATTATAATTATATTTATTAACTAACCCTTCAACGCACAGGCACATATACTAGTTACTCTGAAAACGAAACTAATAATTAATTTATAAAAAGATCAAAAACCTCTTAACATATCTAGATTTGGAATTTCATCTGCTTAACAATCCAACTTCTAGAAGTCCTATCTTTCTCATACGACCTCAAAATTTCACAAACTTCACATTGTTGGAAATATCTTTCGACGAGCGTTCCATCCATATAGCGAACTTACAGAAAAACCTCCTTAGATGGAAGTTATGGCTGTTTGACAAATGACCAAAACTCACTTTTGAAATATGGAAATTTTCCAGACTTCTTTACTTATTTCCAAATTTGTTCTTCTTGTTTTTCTTAGCTTAACCTTAATTCATTCTAGAATACGAGATGTTACAATATATCCCTCTTGGGAAAATTCATTCTCGAATGAGAATTCTTTCTCAAAGCTAGGGCAGTAACATCATTTTAGCACTCAACAACACAACAAATAATTATATGTTAATATATAATCTTATCAAGTGCTAAGAAGAGAATTTAGTACCTTGATTTGCATTCTCTCTGGATTCAAAGAGATGTGGATGTCTCTTCTTCATATCCTTCTGTGCATCCCAAGTCTCCTCTTCGACAAATTGGTTCCTCCAAAGGACCTTGACTAAATCAACTTCTTTTGTCCTCAACTTCCAAACTTGACGATCCAAAATCTGAACTGGAACTTCTTCATAGGATAGGCTATCCTTAATCCCCACATTTTCTATTGGTACTATCAATGTAGGATCACCAAAGCACTTCTTCAATATAGAAATATGGGATACCAGATGAACCGCTGCTAACTCTTGGGGTAGATTCAACTCATAAGTCACATTGTCCACTCTGTTGGAGATTCTATAAGGTCCAAAATATCGAGGACTAAGTTTGTTTTTCTTACCAAACCTCATAATTACTTTCATAGGTGACACCTTAAGATACACCAATCATCTACCTCAAACTCTAATGTCTTTCTTCTAACGTCTATGTAGGACTTCTGACGACTCTATGCTATCTTCAACCTTTCTTGAATCACTTTCACCTTCTTCATAGCTTGGTGAACTACATTTGGACCTATTAACCTTGCTTCGCCAACTTCAAATCACCCAATAGGAGATTTGCATCTTCTCTCATAAAGATCTTCTTGTGGAGCCATTTGGTTGCTCGATGATAACTATGTTGTAAGCACACTCACTGAGTGGTATGTGATTATCCCAATTTCCCTTGAAGTCGATTACACAAGCTCTCAAAATGTCTTTTAAGGTATGCATAGTACTTTCACTTTTTTCATCTGTCTGAGAATGGAAAGCAGTACTCAAATTCACCTTTGAAACCTAACCATTCTGTAAGGATTTCCAGAATTGTCAAGTAAATTGTACACCTCTATCTGAAAAAATGGAGAGTTCAACCCCATGAAGGCTTAACACTTCTTGAATGTACAACTTATCATAATCCTGAACTGAATAGGTAGTATTTACCGACAAGAAATGGGCTGATTTTGTCATTCTGTCGACAATCACCCAAATAGAATCATGTTGCCTTCGCGATCTTGGAAAGACTGTTATGAATTCTATATATTAATAATCTACCACTTCCATTCTGGATGTTGAATATTCTGAGCTAAACCTCTAGGCCTTTGGTGTTCCACTTCCACATGCTGACAATTTGAACACTTGGCAACAAACTCAACAATGTCTTTCTTCATGCTTCGTACCAATATACATCTCTCAAATCATGGTACATTTTGGTGGAACCCAAACGAATGGAATATCTGGAGTTATGAGTCTCTTCCAAGATCCTCTCTTGGATTTCATCCACCTTAGGTACATATAATCTGCCTTGGTACTTCAGCACACTATCTCCCCCTTGTTCAAAGGGGAATAATCTTTGGTTATGGACACTTGGCTTCAAATCTAGCAAAATAGGGTCTTGATCTGGCTTCTCTTTCACCTATGACACTAATGATGATTAAGCCTCATTGGTCACCACTATGCCTCCTTCTGTGGAGTCCATAAGTCTGACTCCCAATCGTGCAAGTCAGTGTACATTTTTTTGCTAAATCCCTCTTTCCTTCTTCAACATAGGAAGTACTTCCCATGGACAACCTTCTTAGTGCATCAACAACCACATTAGCCTTACCTGGGCGGTAAAGAATACTCATGTCATAATCCTTGAGTATATAGAACCAACTTCTTTGTCTAAGATTGAGCTTCTTCTGGGTGAACACATATTGGAGCCTCTTGTTGTCACATCCGGGTTTACACCCTAGACGTAACTGTATCGTCGTCCTTTTTAAGGACTAATAATAGGCTCTTAGTTTCATGTCATTACATTCATAGGTAGAAAAATTGTGAAACAATTTGGAACTCTTATTATATTTACTAGGAGGTTTACATAGACCTCTACATACACATAATATATGTTCATATTGAGTATACATAAACCCTTTATATAGAAAGGTTACATAGACTTCTACTTTTATTGCACACATACACACACAAAAACACACACACAAACACACACACACACACACACACACACATATAGAAATAGTCTCAACGATCTTCTTGTCTCATACCATCTAAACGGATATCACAATATGAGCATAGCCCTTACATCAATTCAAAAAGACCATTTATAGGTCATATGAAAGTGCAATATTCAAATAATAAGGAAAGAAATGATAGAGTCAATAAGCTCCTAACAAAATCCAAAGTTAGAAGATGACATTGCCCTCAAAAGTTGAGGACCTACCCCACTTGGAAGAAAGGAAGAATCCAAGCCTTGAACAATATCGCCTTTTGAACTCTTCAACGACCGAAACCTAAAATGTTTGGGGCAAGGGAAGAAAACGGGGTTAGTACTCCACATGTACTAAGTATGAGATCTTATGCATATACACAAACAAAACATGCTAAAAGGGACTTTGTATCAAAGCATGCCATTCTACCCCATTAAGTGCTTAATGCAAAGTCAAGTAAGTCAAATTATTCAACCAAACATGCTTACTATCTCAACAAGTAATACTTATCCCAACACACCTAAAACTACGACTTTATACGACCCTAATATCAAGGAATAATATCACAAGAATGAATAAGAGTTAAACATGTCATAATAAGCAAGACAACTACTCACAAGTCCTTATCAAGTCAACAAGTGCACTAACCAAGAAAAGCCCCATAAACTTACTTAATCAAGTATCCTCAATAAGAAAACATGACCAATGTCTAGCTTTACATATCATAACGCTTAGGCTTGTATTCCATCATGTATTATCATTATAACCAAAGACATATTCATAAATGAACT